CGTAAACATTAGGCAAGGTGTGGCAGCAATATTCGATGCAGGGGCTTTTAGTAGACTTATAGCTATGCAAGATATATTCCGTCACGATATATCGTCTACCATGACATAGTGAAGCAGATTCTATCGTAGTAGACTTAGTAATTGATTCAATATAATCACTCAACTTTATATCAGTGAAAAAGTTGAGACAAACAGGGTGCAGCCATTTTATCTCCGGGTGGTTAACATCAGCCATATACATGAAAGATAAAAACCTCTAAGATGATTAATCGAGAGCGTTTTAATTTTTGATACGTTAAAATTTTAGATACTTCTTGTCCCGTTTCACAACACGACCTTATCAGACCTAAGGTTAAGACATCACTAAATAGTTGTGTCATCAGCATAAATGCCAAATCGAAAAATGATGTCATCGGGAATCACTTTGATGAAAATAAGAATGACAGTGGTCCAAGAATAGAGTTATGGAGAACGTTCGCGTTAAAGAAAATGATCTAGAGACGTGGCCGTTCGAAACAATTTTCATGATGCCATTTGATAAAAACGATTCAATCAGATAAAAGAATCGCTCAGAAACATCAAAATCTTGAAGAAGGCCATCATAACCAACCTTGTCAAGCGTCAGACATATTTAATCCTATTAATTAGTCTCTGTATTATTTAAAAGATTTGAAATAAATCAATATTAATTATCGGTTTTCGCAAAATATCCGCTATCAAATATATATCTATAAAATTCTAATGATAGATTTAATTAAATCTGTTTATAAAAAAAAATGATATATATTTCATTAAAATCCATGTCCCCAAAATAAGATATTAAGTTTTATCCTTGGCTTCATAATATTTTTGTGCTCTGGTATACATACAACCTTGCATACTGTGATAATTCCTTAACTCTTGCTCTTAATTACGCAATACAGAAAGTTTTGTTGTTTGACAGAATTATCATGTTAGCCATCGCCCCATCATGTTATATATACAGGGTGTCCCAAAATAATGTGTACACACTTTGAATCGTTATAACTTATTCAATTTATGTATTTTGACTTGTAAATACGATTAATATAATAGAAAGACTACACATTTAAAGAATTTGAGAGTACAATATACAAAAAAAAAAAATAGAAAATTAACTTTAATAAAATAAAAGCTACTTGGGACAATGGTAGAATGTTCATATAATGATGAGTTCACATCAAGTGCTCAAACTGGTTGCCATTCTGTTCAATACACTTTTCATATCTTGAAGAAATAATCCTACAAAAGTCCAGTATCATTTCCTTTGTTATTTGAGCACATTCTTCTTTAATTGCTTATCTCATTTCAGAAATTGTTTCAGGTTTCCTGATTTAAACTTTGTATTTTAGAAAAATAAAAAAAAACACAAAAAGAAATCCAAGGGTGTCAAATCTGATGATCTAGGAGGGTATTCAAGTGTCCCTCTTCTTTCAATCCATCTGTTTTGCATATTTTCAATCATATGGAAAAATATATTATTAACTATTAATGTTTAAAGAGTGTATAAATTATTTTGGGACACCCTGTATATTAAGTAGATGAATAGTTTGTCCACATTGGTAGCAAGGTAAGTTGTTGAACAACTGACAGATATGTAATGTAGCATAGGGAAGGAATTTTGTTCTACTGGATTTCATTTTTTTTTTTTTTTGTTGGCGAAATATCAACAGAACATAGAGATTCTTTCAAAACCCGCAGAGTAGTACGATAGAATTTACTCATGGTAACAGATATCATTCTAACAAGTGTTGAGTCTGCGTAATGTGCATGGCTGCAACCTAGAAGTTGTTTTCTTTTTCTACGCTGGCGCGCAAAGAACCTTCAGTTGCACAAAGACAGAACTTGCCCTCCTTACAGAAAAAGTACACGATTCTGTTCCCTGGGAACTCTATCGTGACAGGACTGCAAACGTACAAAACAGTTATGTAGTAGGCGAAGATCTAATAGAGGGACATGTATCAGTGTTCTTTGCTGCATGCAAACGATTTGTAAGAAACCGTTTAGTTATTCTAATGGTTTTATGCCCGCGTAAATAAAACATATATATATATATATATATATATATATATATATATATATATATATATATATACCCAATCTTTACAAAGTATATAACGAAAAATAAACAACAACGGAACTTGTGATGAAGAAGTTAAGAAAGCTATAAAATACTAAGGAATTATAAAGCATCATTTCGCATTGAAGCTGAGATTTTAAAAATAGTTTAACTACTCTGCGAGTGTCAGTAACAGATTCCCCAAATACAGGAGGATATTTTTGAATGAAAAATGCATCCAACAATCGTGGGGTATTTCGCCCATTAATAGATTATGGAAATAAAACAGTAGTCCTCAAGACGCACACATATAACTGGTATCTAAATTGGATTGATTATTTTGAAAAGAGTAATGAAATTCCTCATAATTAGGCTATCATTGTGTTATGAAGTCAACTTTTCATAGCCGAGTTTGGGTGTCATTAAATTGTATAATGATGGCATAGCAAGGGAAGGCAAATTTCATACCTCTCCAATAGGTTCCGGTATGATTACTGAAGATAAGCAACGTCGAAACTGGTCAGTACGTAGACGGGCGACGGTTTGAGAATACCAGTTGTTGTCAGCTTGGATCTGCGGGTTGTGTAATGGATAATGACTCGAATTTGTTAATCGAAGAGACGAATTCCAATTCCCGTTGGGTTTGTTATATTCACTTATGCTCAAATAACCCTAGAAAAGGTAAGAACCTACCTCTTCTCCCCTCAGCTATGGATTAATGAGTAGGACATGTATAGCCAAACCAATATTATCTCAAAATATGTCTTTCTTTTTGTCCAGTATTTACTATTATTGAGAATATTACATAGTAGTATAATACTCTTATATTTGTTTCCAACGGACTTTACGTGTTTCTTAATAATTTGTTTAGTTTCTTGGAGGCATCGTTTAATATCCCACTGTGTCATTGGATTGACGTGTCACATTATTCATCGTCTGTTACAACAATTCAAAAAATAATTAGAATTCCTTACTCTCTGTATTTCAATATCTTCAATTAGTGTATCGCTTCTTGAGATATTGCTCTTGACAATGGTCGTATATTCCTTGTTACAATTCATCGTTAGTGTTTTTTTACCCGCTTTCCTATACTATTTTATCTAAGATATCATGTTATTTTCATTCTGTGTCTGCAAGCACTACTGTGGTGTCATATGGGTATCTTTCACAGTGGAGGTTAGATCAACGAATAGTAATTCACAGCTGGACACTTAGCTCTCTTAAGACGAGCGCTCTCTCGATTTTAAACAAATCTCGGGAGAAAAAACGTCATTACCTTAAGTTCCTTTCTTATTTTCTCTATTTTCCTCTAATTGATAAATTCATTCGCTATCCGGATGCAGGCGATAATAGTTTTATTTGGAAATTTTTGACTTGCAAATTCTATTTCTCTTTATAAACTACTTCCCGATAGTGTTAAAGAAAACTTTTCCTCGGTATAACGAAGTAAGCAAACAAAAAAAATGAAAGGAATATATAAAAATTCCTTTGGTCTTTTCAGATAACATCATTAGATGAATATTATTGCTATTCCCTTGTATTCATCACTTGAAAATATTGTGAAATATACCCACAGAGAGAGTCTTTATATATTCGTGCTTTTTGATGGTCATTCTCATGAGATAAATTATGTAAAGGTTTGAACTGACGGAATCAAGAAATGTACTTCGCCAGAACATCTGCCATGGAAATAGCAGTAAGCAGTTCTTCCCCCACAAGTCTTCGCAAAAGATTTTGAACTGAGTCGAGCCTGGAAACTGAGCATTGGTCAGCACCAAACCAAATGTGCCAACAATACTTGATTTTTGGTCTTAACTTGCTCTTCTACAGATAACATTTACGTTCATATCACTTTGGAACACCGGTTTCCGTACGACCATCGAAGATAAGCAACTTCAAGCTTGTTCAATACCGAGATGTAATGTCCCTTTGACAATACCAGGCGATGTAAGTTTGGACGTGGAGATATTTTTAACGCATAATGGCTCGGAATTGTTAATCGGGGAATCGGGTTCCGATTCCAGTTAGGTTGGGTTCGTTATATTCACTTACGCGCAAATACCTTTGGAAAAGGTATGAATACACCACTTCTTCATCCAGCTACGGCTAAAAAGGCGTGACTTGTATCACTAAATCATTATTACCTAAAAAAATATTCTTAGGATCTAAAAATATTTTCTAGCTATAAATAACCAGCAACGGGTTAATAAAGCATGCCAAGAGAAATCAGACACTTTCTAAAGCGTTACACTGAGCTGCCCATTTTCCCAGTGTCTTTAAGCTGTTACCGAAATACGAGTTGCACTTGTGGTCAGGTGTGAACTTGAGTCACAATAGACGTCCCAGTCATGTAGTCACCTTAAGATTACAACTATTCACCATGTCTGGAGAAAACTCTCCCTAATCTATGATGTTAGAGCGTTACTTATTAACACTAGTGCCATCGTCGGGTTTAAAGTGTTAATCACAGGTATACATGAGATTAAGGAAAGGAATTGCCAAAAACTCCTACTACAGTTGCTAGGGATTAACATTTTTCCTGGGTTTCGCTTCGATTTTTTTCCGTAATTTTAGTACGGTATCTATTTTCACTGTCAGATTGTACCTAGTAACGCAAAACTGATGAGCATCCTGCTTATTCGACAATTAAATTTGCCTAAAAATGTTTTCTTAAGATATTATAAGTAGTATTATCCGTAGAAATTACACGTTTTTTATATGAATTTTTTGAATTATTATAATTGTTAATTTAATAACAGAATCGGCCCTTTTCGCATTTCTTGACTATAATATATACATGGAAATTTCCGCATTACATTCTTAAGGTTAAAAACTTCAAGAATAACATTAGTACATATGAGAGCAGTTCATTAAATGAAAAAACATGAAATTCTCAATTTTTTCTATTTCCCTGAAATTTCACATGGGATTTTTATCTCATTTTTCTTTCTTTCTTTCTTTCTTTCTTTCTTTCTTTCTTTCTTTCTTTCTTTATATATTTTGCCTGAAACAATGCATTGACTCTTATATATATATTTGTATTTTTTGCGATCAAGCGGAAGAGCCCATAGCTTATCTTAGTCACTGCTCTGTCGCTACTGCCACGGAAATTGCTCGGACTAACTACGTTCCTTGATTCCACTAGGTCTAACCTTCATGACTAGGATCCGCCATGCCACTTACATAGTAGCAAACTCTTCGTCCGTATTCCATCAGTGAGAGGTAAGTCCCACTCAAACAGCACCTTCGCGCCAACGACAGCCTAGTGGAAAAGACTTCAGAATCGAGGTTTCCCAGATCATTACAAGCTTTAGCTGTTTAAGTTAACCGTTATCTTCCCCTCTTATGCATATTAACTTCATCTTCACGTAACCCTCTTTCTCGAGTAGCCACCGTAAAAAAGGCAACGGCAGGGTATAACGTACTTGCTATCTAATTAATTACGTTACAGAGAAGCAAACAGACGCCTATGTTAATACGGGAATAAGCAGAATATTATTTATGTCTTTGACTTTCTCATCATATAAGAAGGAAATATATAGAATATTAAATTGAGAGGGATGGATTTTGTGTGAATCTATTTTAATGGATTCCTTGAAACTATATAGGAATATAGCTGAAAATAAAAAATACAATTCTGTAAAATAAAATCTCCCTGTTCTAAAAATTCTTCTGTAAAAGCTTTGGAAAGGATTGCCATTTTAACGGCCCTGCAAAGGCTATGGACTCACTTCACGATCTCTATTCACTAAGTGAACTCTACCGTCTCCGGGTCTTTGTGAGTGAAGAATTATTTTCCACTCTGCAACCCCTTTTACACAGACAAAAAGTCGCATGAATCTCGCTGCTCTATGGTTATTTTCCGTGGAAAGCGTTTAGATGAATTCTATTACTGATTTCTATCAGTTCTAACTTTCACGTGCTCATTGTAACAAAACATCGCCATACCTTTCGTATTCCATTGGTGGTATATAAACCGCTCAGCCATCTTCTTCGCACGAACAAGCTGCCTTGTAGAACAAGCTTCCAACAGAATACATACAGGATGGCTAGAGTCTTATCTTCCCCAGATATACCTATTAAGTGTGCCTCTTACACTGTAACCTCTACCTCGAGTGGCTACTGAGCCATGTTCAGAGTGAACGTGTTTGCAAAAATAATACAGTGCTTGTCCTAAATAGATCATTAAAAATGTAGTTGAATACTTTCAACTATATTATAAAATTATCCTAGTTAAATTTAAACGGAATCTTTTTAATATACCCATCGTAATTTTATCTGAACATACACCAAAATTCTTCCTGGTCACCTCTTACTTCACCCTGTACCCGGAATTTTAATGTAATCTTGTTAGCGTAACAATAACCAGCATGAAGTCGATTCATGCCTTATGAAAGCAGATTAACTGTAAGTGAACATAAGCAATCAAAGACAAGATGTAGAATCAGGCTGCAAATTTCATTTTTTTTTCCGGGCTGTTAAGCATTACGCTACGTGGAATCATCATAAATTGAATGTATTTCCTGTAGACATTACAGCAGAAGATTTATGGAGTAATAAAAGGAAATAATTTACGACATTTCCTTGACGAATAAACGAGAAATGTCTTTATTTGCTCTTCTTATGTCACACGCCTGAGATTTGGAGAAATTTAATTCATGTCATTTTAAAATTTGATGGGATTTTGTTTAGGAATAGATATGAATCAAAATCGAATATTGGATAAAATACGACGCAAACTTAGAATTATGAAAATATAAATAACTTTTCCAGATTCGTTTAGATATTATTTGTATTTCTTTTCATTCAGTGTTTTTCATTATGGTCTTGTTTCCTTTTTCTCTAGTAATTTCTGAGGCTCTTTAGCCGTATGTTTAGTTTTAATGAGTTTTTTTCCACATTTCATAACGTTCTCCGAAAATGCGATTGATTTATTAGTTTTGATTTTTACAGATTATCTATCATTTGCAGGTTATTTAACACCAGAAAATATTTTTACATCGTCATAATTATTTGAAAATAATAATGATTTATTAATACAAGTCCTCCGAATTAAACAATATCATGTGTAGAGGAGCCCGGCTCTTAACGAAGGATATTTGCGCGGAAGGAAATATAACAGATACGACGGGAATTTGAACCCGGGACTACGATTTCCAATCCCGAACCATAATCAATTACATCACCCGCACATCCAAGCTTACAGCACCTGGAATTCTCAAACGACGCATCCCTTAACGTCGGTGATCGTACAAGAGCCTGAGTTTCAACGTGATACGACCGAAAACCCGAAAATATCAAGGAGGCGCGAAAAGCTAACGGCAGAACATAGGAAAATATAGATATATTTCTAATTCGCTCTTAGCATGATTCACCGACGTTAAGCAACGTTGAGTCTGGACAATACCTAGAGGAAGGTTCATTTGGAAATAACATAAGATAAGCTCAGATGTGCCGGTAGTGCAATGGAAAATGATTCGGAATTGATTTACTGGATAGCCGAGTTCCAAATCCAGACAGTATCGTTATATTCACTTACGCGTAAATTCTCTAAGGAAAAATATGAATCCACCTCCTCTCTTCAACTGTCGATTAAATAGTAAGACTTGTATCACTAAATCATTATTAACCCCACAAAATTCCTACAGTTTGAAAAATATTTTATGGCTTTAAAAAAACTGCAAAGGCTTGATAAGCCGTAGAAGATGAATCAATCAATCAACTATCTTGTAAGTTTTTATATAATAAAATTTTATATTTTTTTACAGAATTATCTTCATTTATGCAGTTGTTTTTCTTCAACTATGAATGTTTCCCTTTTTTACTGACTGAACTCATAAAAACTCTACCGCCATCTTAGTGAATTATATTAATCTAAGAATGCCATATCTACACTGTGAATGAGTAAATAATCACATTTAGTTCAAATGTTCATTTATTCTTGTGTGTCAGTTATTTTGAGGGATTATCCCTTGATTGTCTGCCAGAGGACATCAAATAACACCTGCTACGTTGCGTCGTATGATGCAGCATGAAAATAAAATACACCCCCCGGGTTTTTCTTCCAGCCCCAATGTGTCGTGTTTCATTTCCACAGGAGGATTTATTAATACCCAGGCAAAGCAAATGTTGCAACAAACAAAATACTGTCATTAACGTTTATCCTCTAAGAAAACATTCTATGCGTCTAAAATAAAATTCGATAAAAAAATTATATATATATATATATATATATATATATATATATATATATATATATATATATATATATAGACCCGTGGTCCGGTTCACACTTTTCACCGGTATTTTGAACTGGAGTAAAAGATTATCTATTGTTTCTTGTTTATGTCCGGGTTTCCGGTTCCTGTTTAGGATTTTGTTTCCAGTTCCTTGCAAAGTCGTCTCATTATCTTTCACACCCAGTAGCCTTATTTGTGTCTTAGTATCATAATTGCCCTGTTTGGGTGAATTGATTAATATGTTTACGAATCCGGAGGTCAAAACGGCATGAGTTGAAAGAAAAAAGTAAAAAGAGAAATAGAGAGAAAAGGGTAAGGCGTAAGGGTAAAGAGAAACACTTAACAAAAAGGACAAAAAATCACGACATTCTGCATGTACGCACATCCGCGCAGACGGGTGCATAGGCGCACACAAGTGAACGCACAGACGCAAAATGCAAAAACACACGTACTCACGCACACATACACTCAAAAAAGAAAAAAAAAAATAACAATGCAAATTTCATATGAAAAAGAAAAATCGAGAATGATAAACAGTCAATTGCTGATAACCCTGACCAGTGGACGGGGTAATTCCCATAGGGTCTGTCTACGAAACTCTGGAATCCGGGATGCTGAACGTGGCATCGATCATCTAAGTGAAAAAAAAACTTTTACTTGTATTAATTCTCCCTCACTACCTCTCTCTCTCTCTCTCTCTCTCTCTCTCTCTATATATATATATATATATATATATATATATATATATATATATATATATTGTGTGTATTTAGGCAGCATATTTTCATTTATACACGTTTCATTAAATAATATAGACAAGTGTTGTCTATTTATTTTATGTAAAATTTTTTCGTATCTTCTGATAAATTTGATAACATTATCATTAACCGAAAAAAGAAATTCACAATATTTATCCATTATTTTTTAATATAATCTAAGCTTTCGGCTTACTCAAGCCATTATCAAAGATGTAATTACAAAACATATCAAACAATATACGGACACGACAGTGATTCTAGTCTGTCATTGTTTAGTTTACATAGTGGATCACTAAGCAACGATGAACACGCGCATATAAGACGCTAGAAGCGAAAATCGCACCTCATCCCATGACGTCACACATGACACACGAGAGTGAATTGGAGAATGAAATAAGGAAAGCCGTTGGTATAAACCAATGGCTTCTGCCACCAATTATAGAAATTATAGACATTTAAGAACATCCGTAGAGACTCCATAGTTGATTTTGTTTAGGTTGGGTTTTAACTGTTTGATGTATAATGCTTCAAGTGTTTTTATATATTATATATATATATATATATATATATATATATATATATATATATAACATATATATACAGACAAACACACACACACACACACACACACACATATATATATATATATATATATATATATATATATATATAGCGAGAGAGAGACACACACATACACTATATTTCAACAAACGAAGAATGACTATAAACGGATGATTCTCTTAAAAATGATAACATAATATGGCTACTGTCTTAAATCGTTTATCTTATTATCATGTTGTTTATTTTGAAAGGGTATAATTAATTAATATGTGGCTTGTTCAAATTTTAGACGGAATAGGGTTAGAAATTTATTGGCTGTCCATCTATTTTGACCTTTACATCTTCACATTGTTTTCTTGTTAATCACTCATCACAAGCCTTTCTAAGTAATCTATATTGTCACAATTAAAGTATGAGTGAACTGTTTTTCTTTGTCTTTTGCAGGACTTCTAGCTTACCATTTGTTCATTTGCCAGTTTTCCTAATTATTTTATTTCATGCTGTTCTTTTCTTTTAAAACTTTTCACCCATCATTAACCTTCTACTTCTTCCTAAATAAACTTAAATAATATTACGATAGATTCTTAGCTACGTGCAGCAAATTTCAGCGTTCCATAAAACTGAATCCCCCCTACAAAAAATGGCTGCATAAAAATAAATTAGCGCCTGTATAACTTCTACCCAAAGATAGCGGACAATACTTTAATACTAAGCAAATTTTGTTTTTCTTTTCTCTCTCTCTCTCCCTGATCGCTCTATGTATCAAACTGTCTCTTAGTCCCTTTGTTTTTCTCTCATTCGCTCTTTGGTCAGTTTGTCTGATTGTCTCTCCCCTCCCTTTCCATCTGTCCCTCTCTTGAAAAACAAAATATGACATAGTTTTAGATTGAACCACTTACGGATTTGATACTTTATTTACTTATCTATCTATCTATCTATCTATCTCTCTCTCTCTCTCTCTCTCTCTCTCTCTCTCTCTATGTATGTATATATATATATATATATATAAATCCACTCAATATGTGACGAAAAAAACAAACAAATAAAGAAGTGTTTTTTTACGTCTAATGACAGCCGTAATATTATTTCCTTATATAAATAGATTTTTTTCTGGATAGCCACGACTTCTAGTCCCAATAATAATAATAATAATAATAATAATAATAGTTCTAGTATATAGCCTGCTGTTTGGGCGTTTATCTGAAGTGTCGAGTATTATTGTAATCGATATAAAGACATATATATTTGTGTGTATCAGATAGAATTTTTTTCCGGATTATGCTTAATGTTACGATCTTATATGCCGTAACTCTATCCACTGCGGTGAGTTTAGGTTTTGGTTTGTTGAAGGCGGATATATAGAAACACCAAGCATCAAGAAATTGGGTCTGTCTGAGAATTGCGTGCTACTTCGCACGTCAAACGAATTATCGTGGCCGGCACACATGCAACTGATTCTCGTGGCCGTCAGAAGGCACGAAGGAAGCTGAGATGTAACGGGTTCTGATTAACCAACGGACTTCTTAATTTTCTTTTCGTTTCTCTTTAAATATACGTATTATTATTTTGCTTTTTATTTCTCTAGATTTTACAGAGCTTCATACTTAAGAAGTTATGAATCATTTGTTTGTTTGTTTTTTTTTGTTTTTTTCCGATGAAAACTGTAGAAATATTCGTTTTAGTGCTGATGTTTATCGTCTTTTACGAATCTTCTTTGAAGCACTAAAGCTTATCTTCCTCTAGTTAGATAGTGAAGTGTTATTTCCACTTTGGTCTTGACACATGCGATCGTGCTTCGGCTGATATCAAACGAGTAGGGCTTTTCCATTAGAGAAGATAATACATGCAATTGCACATAGAGCTCAGGAATGTGACTAAAAAGCAAATGCCTAGTTGTATGTTTAGGTATTTTGAAAGCGTTCTGTGATAGTAGTAATGTTGTCATAGACCAGTGCGTTAACTTCTGATTAGGTCTTTGCTGAGTGTATCTCTTGATATTTCTGTAGTCGTTAAATTATTAAATTAATGAAACATTAACTAAAGAAAATAAGACAATATATGTAAAGTCCGAACAATTTTTCTTACAACTATATATATTAGAAATATATTATATATATTTGAAACCTTTGAACATGATAAAAGACAATCTGTTATTTTTTTCATCTTGTCTTCCAAACATTCAAAATCTCATAATTTTCTTCAGAAACGTGCACTGCATGCTAAATAATTTTCTATATTTTTTAGATTACACTACTTAAGCCAGGCTTTAAATCTAGTAAGAGGTTACTGAGTGCAAACGAATATTTTAAAAGATGGAATGGGAGAAAGAACAACAAAAGAACAGGAATTAAGTAGACATAATATAACGACTGACATTGCATTTAAATCTGTGAATATCAGAATTAACTGGAAAGCAAGAATCTCGATGAGAATTTCTCTAGCGAGAAGTGCAAGAGAAGCTGTTATCATTGAACTTACATGTAGCAATATCATTTATAAATTGTTAAGACGTTCTTTCTACTTTACTTTCTTTTTATGTGCCATGTCTTTTTACGACGTACGCGATCATGGCTCTCCATCTCCGTCTCTCACTTACAGCTCTCAACATGTTCCTTCCCTTTGCTTCCCACCCAGACCACGTTCAGTCATCCACTTGCTTAATCCGTCAGGTATGTCACGCATTGTTTTCCCTTGTCTCTCTTTCCCTTTATTCGACCCGTGAGTATCAGATTCTCCAGGCCCTCCTTATTCATTACGTTTCCCAGAAACGTAAGCTGTCTCCGCCTGATATTAATTACAAGCTTCTTCCTTGTTTGCGACCTTATGTGCTTATCTCATACTTTGCTTAAATTCGAAAAGTAGAAGTTCCAAATAATAATGACCGTAAAAATATTTCCCAAAAAAGCCACAAGGAAACTAAATTACAGCAGTGGGAAATTAACTGAAGCTGAGATGATATTTCTCGGCCGATAACGCTGTAGATTCACCTTTTGATTTTATCAACAATATGTAAATACTTAGCAGAAGCACCAGGACAGATGTGACGACAATATTCAATGCACGGATGAATTGTAGGCGTATAAATGTATAAATTAGATTCTGGCTACAACAAAATGTCTGGTACGACGCAGAGAATCAACTTTCCTAGCAACAGACTTAGTAACTGATTCAATATAATATTTCCAATTCATGTTATGGCTTCTTGAATCAAGTTTCTATATTGTCTTTTTTTCTCACTTCTCTACACGAAAATGTTCTCTTTGTCTTTCGCTTCTTTTATCCCCCTCATCCATGTGACATTATCGCTTTGCTTGGGATGAAATAACTTTAAAAATCTTATCAGCAGGAAACCCTAGCAGAGGAAGGCACAATAAGTGATTCTTCTGGAGATCAACATGATGTTGGAAGACAAAAAATTTTCTAAAAGACGATTAAAATAATACAGTTTCTTTTGTTTTAGATGTTAACATAAATAAGTCATTTCTTGCCCCAGTTAAAAACAGATTGTAGATCATTATTAAGATCAACTTCAAATTTGATCCTATTGTAAATAGTAGAATGTCAAATGCATGTGTCATTAAGTCAAGTTCGAAATACCTAGTTAGTATTAGCGGGTCAACCAAACTATCTCAGGAAACATTGCCAAACACTAATTCAGACTTGTTTTCCTAAAGTTCGTACAGTTTTGGCACAGGACTAAAATCATTGAAATAACTCAGTAACCACCAAAATTGTTACTTATAGATAACTAGACAAAACTCGTAAACTAGTCCCCCCCAATCCCGAGGCGTTCTTATAATTATGTTGTTGAACGATATCTCTTGACAATACTTCTGAGAATGTAGCAAGAAGAGAGTGACTTCTACTATATTAAAAAAAAATCAATTTTCTTCAGTGCAAGATTTCTGGCATCGAAATAATTGTGAAAACGGCAACTTGATTGTTTTTGCTTAAGCATTACTTTAAGATTAAGTTCGCATCATCATCATCATCATCAACATCATAATCAGTCATTTTTATTTCACTTCTGGAGAAAAGACTTTCACGAGAGAGGCAAACTGTTTTTTTTTTCTTCTTAAAAATCGAGTTCACCCCATGCAAGTCATTTTACCGACAAAGACACAAGGGGCTACTGATTGTGTAAGAGTTAGAGGCAGAAATATTACTATTAAGCGAAAACAAAAGAAGATTAATCAGGAAAATTGACATTGCTTATACATTTTGGCGATTAAATTTGGCTGGAAAGCTTGGAGCCTGAAGAGACTTTCACAAGTGTGAAGTGCGAGAAAAAAACTCTTAGCATAGAACTTACGGTTACATCTAACCAACTCACATGTAAATTGAAGATACCCAGTCGCAAGTCTAGAATTGCGCTTAAATTCAAAAAGACTAGGCACAATGGTGAATAGATTGTCCGAACAATTACGATGAAAGAGTTTATAGAACAGGCACAGCGGGGAAATCTTGCGTCGGTGTGAATGTAACTGTAGCCGAGATGCCACATCCAGGTCAATAATATTGCAGATTCTTTTGATTTTTTAGCATATAACTTATGGTTATATCTAGCCGTTTAATCTATAACTTGAAGAATCCTAACTGGAAATCAGGTACTGCGCTCAATTTCGAAAAGAAATCGTGATAGCAAAGCTGAACGAGCATCAGAGAAGTTGCCATAATTCTTTTTTTAAGCATTTCACCTCAAGCAAGGCGGGAGTGCCATTAGCACGCAAAGGGCTACAGAGAGTAGAAGCAAGAGTAAAGGATGAAGAGAAGGACGGGGAATAGTGAATAGATCACGGCATCTGGAGATGTCGACTCAAATTGAATAGTTGGATATTATAGCTTTCAGAGAAGCAAGTTAAGAGGAAGAGAGTTCTACAGACGGCAGGTACGTGAAATGAAGTTTTTGAAGTAGACGAGACGGCCACATTTAACCGTTTCGACAATGAAAGGGAAGAACTGAGATGCCAAAGTAGTAGGTTGTCTAAATTCATGCAGTTTGGGAAGTAGCAAAGTATCCCGTCGGAGCAGTTTCTATGAAAGTATTTGTAGAAAATACAGAGGGAGGCGACGGCACGTCTGTGAGGGAGCGACGGTAAAAGATATGCCAGATCAGGGCCAAACACATTGTATATTCGTCTCTGGAACTTGTAGAGGGCGTTAAGATGAACAGCGTGGGATCAGGACCATACGTGACAGTAGTATTCCATGCAAGGGCGAATGGTTGATTTATATATTTTAAGGATGGACTCGGGCAAGAAAAAACTTTCTGGCACGACACAGAGAACCAATTCTCCTTGAGGTAGACGAAGCTATTGATTCAATGTATTTGTTCCATCTCAGATCAGCGGACAGTGTGAGACCAAGCAGTCGCAAAGAGGTACTCTCGTGGAGTTGAGCATCATTCATTCTATTGGGAGGCAGGGAGGGTTCACTGTACTTGATAATAGAGAGCAGTTTGTTTTTTTTTTTTGGGGGGGGGGGTTAGGCATTAAAGTTAACCATTTCCTAACTCGGTCAACAACCGATTGGAATTCCATTTCATATTTAAATAAAACACAGGGAAGCACTGCGACAGCGGTCGAAAAGTAACTGAAATCGAGATACCATATGAGAAACGACAAATTTTTTATATATTTCGTTGGAGTTATCCAACATCTCTAACTATATAGCAAAGGCAGAAACTACGTGTAACAGAAGCTTAATTCAAATATCTATATTAATGATATCAATAAAACATTATACACTGAAAACCCAGTTCGAAATTTACTTAATAATTATACGTCTGTTTATGTATCTGCTACAGGATTTCTATAAATATTACATACATGTGTATAAATATTTTTGTACTCGTTCCATACTTTTTTATCATATTTTTTTGCAACAGGTTTATATTGGTTACTAATTACTTCATGATTTCTGTGGCACCTTGCATTATTAGACAAAAAAGAAATATTCATAGAAATATGATTTAATTTTTTTTTTTACTCGGTTTATTAACCAGTTGTTAGTTTTTTTTAGACGAAGAATAATTGAGTTTCGAAAATAATTCTCTAAATTGTACTTAGACGATCCTAAGGGAAGAAAAAAAAAAAAAAAAAAGGGAAAAGAAAAAGAGAGAGAGAGAGGGAGGAAAAAGAAAGAAAGAGGTCGAGTAATGCAAAAGGCCGGTCATTAGCGAAAACAGGTGTCAGAAAGATATCTAGGTCAGCGTGTTTGACCGAATTTCGGGAGACAATGGGAATTGTTATTTAGAATGAAAAGTCATTAAGAGAGAGAAAGAAAACAGGCTTGGTAAAAGTGTATGAACATATAGGTGATTGATAAAAATGTCGGTCGGAGCATATGGCCTACTTTTGCGTAGAAGACTCATTATCAATTTGGAGAAATGGGATTTTTTAGAACAATGGAAACGAAATATTAATCGGGGGAAAGGTGTCTTTTGGGATGAGGAGGTGACCGCTGGAATTGTATACAGATTCTGACCTGTTAAAAATCAGAACTCCCACGATGATGAAGCGAAGACATTTTCAATTCAGATAATTAAGATTTTTGACTATCAGGTCTGAGCAAAAACAAAGAGATAAAAGAAAGACAATTGCTCTTGGCTCATAGAGGACGCCAACAAGTCGGAAAGAATTCTTCCTGAAGTCACATCTAATTAGCGGTGGGCTGTTTTGACAGAACCCAGGTGAGAAAGGCCAAAATTGTCGTTTTTCGTGCGTGCGAAAAGGACCAAATTGGATTTTGTTTTTTTAGCAAGCTGATCCTTCCCAGAACAAGGACAGGATAAGCCACGCCCGATTGGAGACGTCACATATGTACGGGAGACGCCCAACCAGAGTCTCATTAGCCGAAAGCGGTCACGTGATATGCGGGAAAGAGGAGAAAGAACGCTCGATCAAGAACCATTGGTCGAAAACGGTCACCTGACATACGAGAGACCGGGAGAGATGGGTATGCGCCTCCCCACCAGAGGCACTGTGAGGAAGTAGGGGTGAAAATAATAGCGATAATGGGAAATCAGAAATAATGCGACTATTGGAATTATCGAGAAAACCCTGACGCCGACAAACCCACCCCGGTTTGTTGCGGCGTCAATAAAAGCAGGACCCCAGTCGACAGAAATCAGTTGCGGCTGAGTTGCGGGGTAGACGGCCAGAGCAGTTGGAACGCGGGCGTCGGGCCCGGTTCATTCGCCCCTTTTCGGCAAGAGAATCCTAAGACAAGAAATCCTTCCAGCCCAAGTCGAAGAAGAAGAAGATTGCTCGAAAGCCGCAGAGAAGTTGCAGTCAAGTCGAAGATAAGAAGAAGAGCTGCAGGCCAGACAAGCAAATGAGTTCAGCCCCGGACGGCAGCGAGAAGAGATCACCTCGGACGACAGAGAGTTGAGTCCCCTGGACGACAGCGAGAAGGGTCCACCTCAGACAGGCAGTAAAGTTGCAGGCCAAACAAGCAAATCAGTTCCACCTCAGTCGACAGAAAAGAGTTGCAGGACGGAAGAAGAAGAAGTTGAAATCAAGCCAAGCCCAAGAACAGAAACTCGACCAAACCAGATCGAAGTGAAGAAATACGTCCAACTCAAGCCGAAGAGAAAAATCAGCTGTGAACGACTGGTAGAGATTAGCCCCAGTGTCGAACTAGACCACACTCCGACATACACAATTCTAAGGAGTAGACAACTCGAAATCTTTAAGTTGTATGATAGAAGCTTGGAGCCACAGTCCACAAAAGCGGGTCGGGAAGTAAGAACAATTTTTATGTAACGAACATTAGATATAAAAGGTTGTTACCCTTTTTTATCAGTAATTTTTTGTCTCGTGAGTTTTTTCTTTTACTTGTGTTTTGCCACCCCCGTCGGACTCAACTTGCATACAGCCCCAATCCCTGTTGGTCCCGTCTGTCTAAGATCTAATCACAACGTGGGTAGACAGACCGGAGATCAGTACAGTTACTCTAGTAACCAGGTGTTGGAAGCGGGTTGGGAAAGGCGAGGCTGGTAATCATCTAACCAAGGGGTTGGAACGGCACACTTGGAACAGCGAAGAGCGACCAGGAGGAGCGACGTCACAGTTGGCGCCGTAACCAAAGGATTCGACCCTGGACCAGGTGTCGCCGTCACATTTCCACCGACCGCTAAATGATTACACCACAGACTTTTCGATTCTCGAACTAGTCGAATTGCACCGAAAGCTGGGAAAGGATCCCCTTCTGTTCAGAAAGTAACAATATGAAAGACAAACACTACGTTGAGAAATAAGAAGAGTGAACAGTTTTTCCTATATTATATGTGGATGATTTATTCGAGGCTCGTCTGGGTGGGTAGACAGCTTATATTTAAAGAAACTCATGCTATGTCAGCGGTTCTGGCTAACAACTCTTTTGGCCAACTAGACATACTGACGTGAGGCTGACATTACGAATGGACGGAAAAAAGAACACACGGCGTAGAACTGTCAAGGGTGGACCAGAACTCTCCTCGACACCAAGCATGGCTGCTAATATAAACAAGCATTCTTATATATACTATTTCCGGTTTTGCAGTCACATAATCTCAAAAACACATCATTCAATCTATTCCTTCTTGTTCGCCTTGAGTCAAATAAGACGTCGCTTAGAAAACTAGATTTCAAAATGTACAACCTACTGGTTATATTAAAGAAAATCAATTCAGATCGAGATAACACGACCTCTTCCCTCCCTACATGGATGTTAGTAGCATCACATATATTTCGTGGATAACATTTGAAATTTATTTTATAGCGCATGGAGACGAAAACGACGTATGATTGTAAAAAGTTTTAACAACGTATGATTTTAAAAGCCAAATGGTTTGATTTAACCCATGTGAGAAAAGCTTATCTTCTCTGGTAAAATAGGTTCCGGCCAGATTTTCTATACTCTGATGCTGTTATATAAATCTCTGATGCCGTTATATAAATCTCTTCTGTTGAACAAGAACGAAGATAAAGATATTCATCTGCTTTAGAAGACACACAAGAAAACCGCCAGAATTTCTCATAGCAAAAATGTTATTGAATAAAAATATAGAAATGATGAGATTAACGTGACGCTCAGTATAATTCTGGATTATCTAGTTTCTCATGAGTTTTCTCTACTTCTTCTCTCTGCTGTATCTTCTTTTTCCGCCCCTTATCCTTTCGTATCTTCACTGATCATCCATGATTTTTTTTTTTGCTAAAACATAAGAAAATATCAAATAGAGGATGCATTAATAATCTCTACTGCAGAATAATGTATATTTATGAGAGAATAAATGAACACATTTGTCTTCCTTAGAGTCAAGTATGTTAATTTCTATGTGTTTTCTACATTGTTTTATTTTGCGTGTGTCAAACACGGGCGTTAATCTTTTCTGTCTTGTGAAAAAAATCAATTTTTTACGCTTTATTCATTATCTGTTACATTATTTTAAAAAAAAATATTAATTCCTAAATTCTGTATCGTTTTTAAAATTAGGATTAATTTCTTCTTATATTTCCTTTTGTTCATCTGGCTTCTATTTGTCACGTATTCATTCATTCCTTCATTTGGCTTTAAATATTTATGAAAGTTCATATTTTGTGCTTGAACTAAAAAAATGCCTTAAAAATAAATGAACTAAAAATATTTAAAATGTCTTCAAAACAATTTTATACAGTAAAAACTGTTTATGTTTGTAAACAATCTAAAGAAACGGATGATAAACTACATAAAATAAAGACAGGATGTTATTTCACATTTCATACTGCGCCCGATTGTATGATAATTTTAGTCTAATTTATTTCACTGAAGATCATTTATTATAGTTAGATCATTACTCGCTTGCTTCCAAACAAATACGTAAGCAAAGACGGTGAAGTACTCTGTCATTAGACAAATTACAACTACATTAAATGTTAAGTTAGCTGAAGTTGTACGACTACATATAGGTTATGGCGTTCTATTTTCAAATATATACACTTGCTTACAATTATTAACATCTCGAAGTCCCGTGACAAGATGTGTGACAGCGCACTGTTACAAAAACTGGCCAGCTATGGAATATCGTGGAGAGTCCTCTATGTTATCAAGTCATGAGAGGAATGACATGTGAAGGTCTATAATAGCCGTCGTCAATAGCACTTGAGATCAATTCTAGCCAGCTTATTTTCTGCTTTTTATACTATCATCATCATCACCATCAAAGAAATAGTCAACTTTACAATTTCCGGATTATTTCTTATTTCCCTGTTAGATTATTTATGTTTATTCATCTTCTTTTTATTCTATCAGTTAATCTTCATTTTCTTCTACTTCTTCATTTTCTTCTTCATCATTTTCTTCATTTCCTTCTTCTTCTTAATTTTCTTCATTTACTTCTTCTTCTTCTTCTTCTTCTTCTTCTTCTTCTTCTTCTTCTTCTTCTTCTTCTTCTTCTTGTCATTTGTTAAATCCTCCAAAATTTTCCTCCTCAAAATATGTTTCATTATGGTCGCTATTTGTTTTGGATCACTACGTGTGGTTTCTTTGTGTTTCGTATTCTCTGAAAGAATTCCGCATTTTTTACTGTTTCGTCCATTGTGTGAGCGACATAAAAACAGAAATAAATCTTAAACAAGGAAAGTATGAGGTAAGGACTATTAAGTGTGACGAAATATTTATTAACTGTAAGAAAAAAAAATGATCGTTATCTGCAAAAAACGACCGAAGAATTTGTCTCCCTATTAAGATTGATAAGGTCCTGTTGGTAAAAAAATGTATTTTCCTAACAGACAGGAGACAAATTTGAATAGTTAAATATGTTTTCCAGAAACAAAGCAAAGTAATAAGACTTAGGAACTTTTCTTAGAAGCACAGAGAATAAAGCAATGTAATATCCCATCTGAGTATTTGTTTATGTATGTGTATGTTTATGTATGGTATATATTTGGGGTCACATATACATATTTAAGTTTGTACAGTTGTATATACATATATAAGTAATAGTTGGGTCTATTTGTATATGTGTACAAGTTCATTAAAAACGAAAAATATTGTAATGATGTTATTTTAATTAAAAATTGTCCGAATGTTTTGCATGCCCGAGGGCTATTGGCTATACTTTTAATCATTATGAAGGATCATGTTTATTTTTATTTTCACTTTGAACTGTATGCAGAGGTTTTTTTCATGAAACATCCTCATAGAAGATATATATGTTAGGTTTACTAATATGTTTTAAATAACTTGCGTTCAACATGAAATATGTAGTAGTTGGAGTAGCACGGTCCAAATGGATTTCCCATTAGTTAGTTTGTGTATAAATATTGCTAGCTTGTTCGTAGAAGAGACTTTAGTTGTGCAGGCGTGCAGCAATTTCCTGAGAATGTTAGTTTTGAAAGATGGAGAAGTAATCGAGGTACGTTTATACACAGAGTTACAGATTATATCGATGATTTCATCGACAGGGAGTTTAATTTTTGCTTAGATTGGTTTTGTTGTTTTGAGGATTTGAAGAATCCGCGTAAGAATATGATTCTATATTTTGCATATAGATATGGGACAATAATATCATTGATGGATTTTGATAACTGGTAAATAGGTGTTGGGATCTTTAAAATGATGGGATATTTTCGATTTGTATATTTTTACATTTTTGTATAAATATCCTGTTTGATAATATGTAATGATGATTTTAAAGGAACCTACATTAGCATTGTTTTATATTATAAGTTTATTGACGTATTCTGTTAGAGTTTTTATGGATTTTTATTAAATTTAATAATCCAAATTATTCAAACTTACCCATCTATTAACTTTAACGGCTTGTATCACTGCTATTAGGAAGCAGAATATTTCCATGATATCAGTTGAAAATTTTTAGTAATTATTTGTCTGTATTTAAGTTTGCCATTATTAATGCATCTGGAGATAGGGTATTGTGCTTCATTATATTCTGGTATGGTCAAGGTTTAAGTATTTATTTGTTTTCTTTGTTTTGGTGGTGGGGGATTACATTATTTAAATGGTGGATTTAATTTTGAGTTGTTGCTATTTGTCGTAAAACTAGATTTATTCTGAATGCTGTAGTGTTACTTTCCTTGTTGGCTGCCGGGTGATGCGATTATAAAATTGTGTATTTAGACAGAAGACTCTCTTTCATACCTGTTTAATTAAAGATGGCAGCCAAAGTACTGCGATTCTCGTTGCATGTTTTTACATTTACGCAACATGTTGCGGCTATTAATTTTTTGCATTTGTAGGGAAATAAAAATACTAAAAAGTAAAAACGCGTTAAAAATCGTATAATAATAGTAATAAAACTTATAATAATAATAATGACAACAACAATAATAACAACAATAGTAACAACAAAAACAACAACAATAATAATAATAATATAGATGATAGAGTGGAGCAATATCTGCACTTGCAAATGTGCAAATTTTACGTTAAAGAAACTGCAAGTAACTGGTAGGAACCTAACCCAGATCTGGTTACAGAGATACGACTTTTAGCAATGTCGATTTTTATATTCAGTAGGTGCTAACACCGGACGACCTGATACAAGTTGGTTAATTGTTTCTGGATATTTATCACGGAATCTGTATTTCGGATTACCATAATTTTTAAGTATGAGTGCCTGGTAATTTCGTGTTAGCGAGCCTTGGTCCTGTGCAGCAAGAATAAAACCTTTGGTTTCAGCTTTTAACCTGGTATTTACGTAACCACTGTTTGCTAGGGGATTTGTTTCCATCAGACATTTAGTACAGACAGAGTATTGACCATGAAGATACTTATCTTGCCATCATTTCTTCATCTGTGTTATTGCATTTGCTGTATTTTTTAGGTTGTTTATTATTATCATTATTTTTATTATCATTGTTTTAAATATAAAATTATATTATATAAATATAAACTTCTTATGTCTACGAATCCAGGGTCTGACGTTACAAAATGGCAAGCAAAAAAAATTAACAAGTATGAGAAATCACACCACTTGAGGAATTTGCACAATAGCAACCACTAAAATAGATAACAAATGTAACACTAAAAGAAAATTATGACAGGATCAACATGTTAACTTGTTACTCTATATGGAACAATAGTTTAGAAGAACTCCCCCTTCCAATAATACTGGAAAGAGCGTTAAGAGATTAAATATCCTTGATGGACCTATTTTTTTTAAATTGAATAGCCCAAGTAACATGAAGAGAAAACGATGATAAGACAAGCATTTTGAAATTTAACTCTGTATTGAACCCTAGTTAAGGAAGCAACTGCTCCACCTATCGCCTCGAATACTGGATAGAGCGATAAGAGATTAAATGTACGTGAAAAAAGTATTTTATAAAACGGATAGTAATTCGAAGAGACAATCGTGGAAGTATCAACATGTTAACGTTTCACTTTATATCGACCATTAGTTTAGGAAGGAAGCACCCCCACCGCCACGAATGCTAGAAAGAGCGATAACAGTTTAACAGTCCTTGAAAAACATTTCCTTGTAAGTTTTTGTTAAACAGAAATATTTAATAAATTTCAAATGACGCTAACACTAGTTTTTTATTCAATGATTATTGAAGGTTTTCTTATTATGGAAGTGCAACATATTGAATTTACCATAACCAATTATCGCATAGATTATAGATTATGTATAGTTTCATAATTTTTTTTTATTTACTCTGTCCGTTCTATTTGCTGTAATATCTGCTACGTGATGATTACACATCTTTCGCATTGGTTCTAGCTTAGAATGACTTAATCAGCACGTTTAAAACACAAAACAATAATTTATTTTCTTGCCTTGATATGCAACTGTTATACCAGAAGATGACTTAGGCAGAAACAAACACAAGAAACTATGATATTCATCATATAGCACACCGAGAAGAAAGAGAGATTTTCTTAAAACAAACTTTGAATAATTTGTTCTGCGTACGCTACAATATAGACAACTCCATACAGAATCGACCGTCTAATTGAAATATAATTCATATCACGTAATGTTTAGTTTTCTTTTCCAGCTGACTTCTACTTCTCATCCATTAAGCAGAGACTTTCTTACCAGTAACAAATAATGTCTTTCTCTTTACAAGTCAAATTTACCAAGTAAATTTTCTACTATTACAAGTTTACATCAAATCCACAACTAAATATATTGGAGTGATCACATCTATGTTTAACAGTTATATAATCACTGCTTAATTAGAACTTATAGTTCGATTACATTCAATAAGCTGACAAATCGATGAATAATCACTTAAGTCATTTTATTGAAATGATTGTATGTATTTTCTGAAAAGGCTCGACCTTTTGTTTATCACACTGAAATTTTGAACGTGTTTCTTTTGAATTTTTATCTTAATTCATTTTCATTCGCAATCCTCTGTTTTAATCTTTTAAATATTGGTTGGTCGGTTGTCTGATTTTGTTTAACGACATATCAACATCTATGTTTTATGTAATGCCGAAACATAAATATTTTGAACACAATTATATGGCTTCAATTAATATATATTGAACGTAATTGTATGCCTTCAGTTACAGATAAAATGTATTGGTAAGTCTGCTATAAAATTTATTGCTGATCATTTTACTATAAATAGCTATTGTTGATTATTTTAATATAAATAGCTAATGCTGGTCATTTTACTATTTTTGTGATGTCAATTCCCGTTGCCACTTTTGTGACGCCAACGAATACTCGTTGTTACTTTTGTGATGGCGAAGAATAGTCTTTGTCACTTTTGTAATGCTCGTTGTAGTAGAGACTGTGTAATAGCAGATACAACTATAATACGCCGTTAAACAATACTGGTGTCAGGCGCCTTCGAATAACACTATCACTAGTAGTATGTGCTAGGTAATACTCGCTCTAACCGTAATCCGTATAATGATCCGATTACAGCAATTGTATAGTGAATAGAGTAGAGAATAACGGCCCATATAGTAATAGGGGATAGAGTAGAAATGGTGATTTGAATAGGAATAGAAGATAGACTAGAAATGTGATTCATTGGATGTCATGCTAATTCCTACTTATGCGATTCCTCTATTGTCACGATTTCTACTTAAATCAGAAAATGGGATCGTCTATGTTTGCTCACTGGCGATCTATGTTCAAACTCAAGTGTTGGCAGTGACATTTTATTCCTATGTAGTAACTATAAATACGTATTGTTGGTAATTATGCTATAAAAATTTATATACTTTCCTGTTTTGCTTTTGTTTGGGGGTTTACTATATGTCCATAGCTGGGACCATAACATCCCACACCCTAGGACTTTATGAGACTGAAAACAACAGCAATTAATAGGTGGTTCCACGCTCCTCGATCTCTCGATCAGAAGCCTTGTAGTTTATCGTAATACCCAGGAAAGTCAAATATTGAAACCCATGAAACTGGCATACGCTTAACCAAAAGATTATATAATTTTCTAAGTTTCTCGTTCTTCTTTGTATCAAATTTCTTCAGCACACGTAGTATTATGACTCTCCACAAATCCTTTTCCTTTGTAGTTTTTAGTATGGTATGTATTTTCCCCGTCGTTTTTAATCCTTCATCTCTCAACCATTTATACATGTTCCTTAAGTAGGTATTTCGCTGCTTTCTTCTGATCCTCCAGATTTTA